TCAAGAATCGTATGAAGGTTGTGATTGATCAATAAAGGATTTGTCACTCTTAGATAGTAGGAGATTATGATCTGCGTTTCATTCAATTAAGTCGATGATGAAATCCTTGGCCAAGGTGTACTCATAAGTCGAAAAGAAGTTTTCGATTTATATTGACTTAATAGTGGAGTGAAAGATATGATCAATGATCGAGATTGACACAATTCCATATCTCGTAATTGATCGGATCGTATTGACGAAAGGATAATAGTTTCACGGTAAACGAACGAATTTGGTTTTGTCATACCACGTGACATTTTCCGTCACATGTATTGCCCTGATACATTGCTAGATGTCAATCAGGGACGGCGAATGTGAATTGACGATAAATTAAAAGGGTGTATTGATTTATCAATTTTGATTAGATCAAAATAATATTTCACGACGTTAGGCATCGTGGTCGGGAACCTAATGGGTCGAACACAAAAGAGAATTGGAAGATTGCAAATTGTCAATTGGTTAATTTAACAATCATTGGATAAATTAATTAATTGAATTTGTTATTTATATTCCCAAATTAATTAATTGGATTAATTAATTCACGGACCGGGTTTAATTAATTGGATTAATTAAATATTGGACCGGACCGGGCCGGGTCCGTTTGGGTTTATATATATACATAGCTAGGGTTTGAGGTCCATAAGGTTTTCATTATTCTTGCTGGCACAAGAGAGAAACCCTAACAATTGCAGTCTATTCTCTTTGTGGATTTCATTGGATGCTGGACAATTGGACAGCTGTGGGAGACAGATTCAAGCTGCTGGAAAGAAATAACGTGAAGGAGTTTGCAAATTACAAGTAAAGGTATATTTCTTATCACAGTTTTTATCTAAATACAAAGCTTCATCCTGAATGAGAATTGAAATTTGTTAAATTCCGCTGTGCATGTTTAAGTAAATTCCCTCCAATTTCGTACTCTCTTCATTTGTTTTTATTGGATTCTTTTTCTTTGCCAGTGGATGTAGCAACTAAACTGCATTAATTTTGTTCTCTCTCTCAATTCTATTTTGCCTAAACAGAAACCCGAGGCTTCGGCATAACAATCTTCACATGATACAGAAAATTTACAATGCTAAAGAGAGAACAAGTAGGAAGTCATTTTGTATAACATAATACAGAAATTTTACAATGTAAACAACAATTTTGGAGAAGACATACACTATTATCATTCTCCTTAACAGTCTTGTACCTCACTAGTTCTCGAAAATTTGTGCGCTGCCTCAACTGGCTGATACATGACAGTTTTCATATTTAAAGCTTTGAAACAGGTAAACCTACACAACAGCGAACGTACAATTAGGACACCCCTTAAGAGATGGACAGAATGGTAAAATAGCACACGTGCATGCACAAATTTATATATTTAGTTACCTAAAGATTTTGAATTCACGATGCTTGGGCAGGCAGCAGGGGGTCGAGATTTCTCGTCCAGGAATGGTTCCACACGGTTTGTATCAGACCAAACAGGATATCCTTTAATTTTTCCCTGTAAGTTGAACGAATAAAAGATTTCGAATGAGATGTATGGCAACTTTTAAGCCTCTTGAAGCACTCATTTGCCTCAAAAATAGAAAGACAAATAGAATTGTGCATCAAATTTTCTTCAATACTGCATACCAGGACATTCAAAGCAGCTAGTGTTGCCATTCCTTCACGAGTCCACTGTACGTACCATGTCAGAGATAATGACTCGCAAAATAATACGGAGCAGCATGAAATGATTCATTTAATTGCCCCAGATTTGTTGAGAATGGTCTAATGGCGAAGAAAAGGCAATAGTACCTTGGAAGCAGAAGCTATATGCGGCACCACAATAGCGTTCTTCATGTCTGCAAGGCCAGGTTTCATGTAGGGCTCATCCTAAGACAACAATCAAGAAACAAATTCCAGAGAATCTTAAATATGATTTATGGAAATGTATCTCAAAAGTATAGGAAAAAATATTAATAATAAAATATAGGTAAGTTTGTTACCTCGAAGACATCAAGACCAACTCGAAACATAGGATTTGCTTTCAGATGCTCTACAAGTGCTACTTCATGTATAACAGGGCCCCTACTGCAGTTCACAAGTATTGCCTCCTATATATTTGATTTGCAATAATATCAACTTATTGAAGTCAAAAAAAAATTTAATTGATGAAATTAAAAAGGAAAATAATTTTCTTGCGGACATAGTACCTTCTTCATCATTGCAAGTCTTTCTTTGTTGATGAGATGATAAGTTGTTTTATCCAATATTGGATGAAGACTTATCTACAAAGGCATGATTAAAAATGCCGTTAACTACCTAACTTATACAGTTGCTTAACTTAGGTACTTAAGCATTTTTTTTTTTGGGTTCCAAATTAGTCACTTTGTCAACCTCTGTTTGCTATACCTAATGGAAAATATGGCGTGGCATGGAAAATTCAATTATTTATTGTTTTTATTGTTCAGCTAGGCAAAAAAGATATTAGACTTACCACATCAGCCTCTCGAAGCACCTCCTCCATTGACGAGGCCCTCTTCCATGTCACGGGCTGTTCACCGTTGGCTTTAAGGAACTGGCCATAAGCTGTAATAGGAAAATAACTATTTACTTGGGTATGAGCCGTGAAAATTAGTGAACTAGTAGATTCATTAAGACATGCCTGTGACGAATTTTTCGAGACGAGTGGCTTGGTAAAGATCATAGTAAATTAAGTTCATTTTGAACCCTTCAACCTATTTCAGAAAAACTCGAGTTAGTTTGCATCAGCAGTATTGCTGTTCCAGCAAACCAAACAAATTGATTAAATCATGGAAGTGTATGAAATAGTCTAGAAACAGGAGGTAGAAAATAAAAACTAACAAAACAACATTGTTTGGCACTCTTCACACTAACTACTAAAACACGATAGCCAAGGAAAAATGCCTCCCTCAAATTCCTTTATAACAGGGTCGTGCTACATGTATATCGGGTTGTCCGCCCCCCTCACATGGGTGGGGGCCCGATTCAAATAAAATATAATTTATTCGAAGTGGGCCCCCCTCCATGTGAGGAGGGTGGACACCCAAGTGAACATCGTTTGATGTACAAGTAGCATTATCCTTTATAATATCGTCAGAAACTAGGATGGCCTAATACAAAGATATGATAAAATCCATATATCACGTACAAAACTAGGTTGATCGGCAGTCAAGGGGATAACCCACTGTTCAAAAGCTACTCCATAGGAAGAGAATGGAAAAATACCATCATTCTAGCATAAGCAGATCCAATACGACCAGCTCCAATGACACCAACTGTCTGTCCTTTAAGCAAGTTTCCCACAAACCTAAACGAGAAATCATCTTAATCATTCTGTTGCACTGAGCAAGAAACCCCCTGTTCTCATAGATCTATGAACAGCTAATAAATGGAATTTAAAGAATGTAAACAATAAACATACAGATGGGGAAGCCATCCATCATATAAACCGGCTCTCATGAAATTGTCTGCTTCAACAATCCTTCTAGCTGCTGATAAAGAAAGTGAAGCTGCTAATTCTGCTGTAGTCTCCGTGAGTACTCCCTATCGATAAGATCATTGCACTAACTTCAGAAAATTCTAATTACTAATAGATCAAAGTATTATATGCATCACATAAAATGAGATGCAAATGTTCTCCACTGAAAAATTATACTTGTTAACGTCAAATATGATAACAATGATTTAAGCTTAAATATCTTTAAGCCTTATTCCTGATAAATTTGAGTACGACTCGTTCAATTCATGAGTATACACATGCAAAAGTAGAGGTAAATCTGAGCACGGTTAAGTGAACTTACAGGAGTGTTTCCAACAGCAACACCATACTTATTGGCAGCATTAACATCGACATTGTTGTACCCCACAGCCATGTTACTGAATGCTTTCCCTCCTGCCCTGCTCAATGCAGAGAACAGGGTCTCCCCCCAGTCTTCAGTCAACTAAAACACACCAAATTCAAATAAACTGAACACTTAAAAACATATAATCCAAAAACCCAAATCACAAAACAGGAAACTCTATCAAGTAAAAGGCAAAAAATTAATTTCTCTTCTTCCGTAGAAGTGTGCAGTTTTAGATTGGACAGACCTATTCAATCTTCGTACCAAACATACTACTAATAAAGTTTGATACTGTACCTGCCCAATGACTCCATCACATTTGTTACCAATCAGAGAAATTATATCTTCAACAGACAATATGGTTTTCTTCTGTGTGCATATCTGAAACATGAAAATGAACAAAAATATTAAATAGAAGTTGAAATGAAGAATGAAAATATTTGATCAAGAAAATAATTACTTCAAGACGGCAATCTTGCTCGACCAAGAGATTAATCCATCGGGTTCCGGGCATGGATTTTGTGCTGACAACCCGGTATTTTCCATTAGGATTGTACACCTCAATTTGCAATGGTTTTGCCATTGAATAGAGCCCAAAGCTTCAAAATAGGGAGTGTGTGCTGATTGTGTCTTATGCCTCCTCAGTCTTTTTTTCCTACTTCGGAACGTCAAGCCTTATAAAAATGGTCAGGAAGAAAATTTCCCTCGTGATCCCTCAACTTTAATTTATTTTTATTATTTAACTCTTTTTTTTTTTTTCTTTTTTTGGACAATTCCATCTATTATCCCATCTTACTTTAATTTAGCAGAATATTCACACTAAATAGTAGTTACATTGCCAACTTGAAATACTGTGGGAGCATTTGTTTCTCATTTTTGTAAAAATGAGAATGAAAAATATAGTTGTTATGGGCCCCACACAAGATATAGAAATTCAAATTTAATAACTTGATACGATGGATAATAGTTATATTTTTCATTTTAATGGAAAACAAACAGGGTTTGAATAGTGTACCTACACAGGGATGACAAAAATTGTTGCTCCACCATGTTCGGCATGGTATAGAATCGAATGGGGGAAAAAATAGTAAATGGGACGAGGAGGGGACGGGTATGAGGATGGGGATGAGGATCATGGTTCCATCCCAAATTATTTTATTTTAATATATTTTTTAATTTAAATTGTATTTAAAAAATAAATTTAATTAATTAATTAAATGAGGCAATAAATGAAAGATCATTTTAATCCTTACGCAGCTTTCCGAAAATCTCGAATTGGAGGGAGATGGTAATGACCGAACTCGTCATATTGCCATCCCTACTTCTCCACATAAAATAGCATATTCTACAAAAATATCAATTAAAAAACTAATTGTAATTAGCACATAAGAATTTGAGTTCCTCTTCTTAACCATGTTGACCTTTTAAAGTAAAATCTCAAGTCTTAATTTAATACAGTTTCAAATGAACAATTCGATCTATTTGTAAGCTTAAATGTGCATTTAAATTCCAAAATTTATGTTCTCAAAGGAATCACCATCTTGCAATGAGATTTTAAAAGTAGACCTTACACTGATTAAATATCAAAACAAATAGCAATACAGAAACTTGCGCTACTCCTTACTATAGTTTATATTATAAGATGAAATCTCAAGTCTTAATACAAGAGTGACACTTTGAAACTAATTGCTGATTTAACGTCAAATATGCATTGTTTATGCATTTTGTCATCACGTGAAATGGACCATTAATTTTTAATTACGATTATAGACATAATTGTCAAATGAAACATATGTTGTGTGGTTAAATTGATAAAAATTGAAGTTGAGTGACCAATATGAAATAAATCTCTAAATTGGGTGACTTCTGGTGGATTTTTTTCTGAGTGAAATAATTCTTGATCCTCTGTAGCATGACCATCATAGGTACATTTTATTGCCGTATAATTGAATTTGATCGTGTTGATAGGGAGAAAATGAAGGGCAGGGATCATTGATTCCTGAATGGTGCAGGTTATTTTGATAAGTTGATGTAGTAGTTGATTGCAGCTGGTTTAGGATGTATGGACCTCTCGTTTTGTATAAGATAATGAAATTATAGGTTGGTGACACGTAATAGAGGCTCTATCCCATTCTGCAAAATGACAATTTCTAAGCTTAGTCTGAGAATTGTGAGCCACTGCTTCTTGGGGAGTGATTAGCTAAAGCAAGAAGTATTCTTGACTTCCATCTACAATGTGTAGGAGTGGCAAAATGGGTTGGGTTAAAATGAAAAATTGCAACTTACCCGAGTCGGTTCGGGCTAATTCACGGGCCATACCGGTTGAAAATTCATGAGGATTGAACAAATCAGCTAGATTTACTTCCTATTGGAGTCCCATTATTTGAAAGAATAAATTTTGTAATAATGATTTTCTAGAGAATGTGTTGTTAAAAAAAAAAAAATTACAAGGAGAATGTATGATTAAAAATAAGATTGAGAAAACATGAATTTTTATAGAATGGGGCTTAGGGACTAACGCGAAAAGAATTTAAAATGTAATACTTTAGAAGGTTGGCTCTATTTCCCAAAAAATAATAGAAAGAAAGGGAACTTTCCAAAAAGAAGCTAAGAAACTAATGGTCCGTTTGATTGTAAAGATGGAATTGAATTGAATTAAAAATAAATTTTAGGGAATTGAATTGTAAGTTATTGTGTTTGATTAGTATAATTTTTCACGTGAAAAATGTTGAAATAAAAAGTATCTTTTAGTGTTCATTTGATTTTGTTTTACATGAAAATTGTCAATTAAATGGATAGAATTTACTGGTATTGGGGATGAAATTTGTTTCCATTGCCAAAAAAAATTAAAGAAAATCATCTATCTTTTGGTGTTCTTTTGTCTTTGTTTTACATAAAAATTGTCAATTAAAGGGAAATATTTTTTTACAATAATTCTTAAAATTTGTTAACTTTGCCAACAAAAAAAAAAAAATTGAAAAAAAATATATGCTACAATACCCGGGAAAAGAAAACCACAAAAATTCCAAAGTTCAAGAAAAGCAAAAACTTGAATTCCATGGAAAAACTACACCCATCAAACACGTCAAAGTTGGAAAATATTGTTGAAATTCCATTTTCCATGAAAAAATTATCCCTATCAAACATATCCTAAATTATTTCTCAAAATACTATCAAACCTTTCCTTCTCTCAAAGAACTGTTTTTCTTATTATATTTTTACACTACAATTCTGTAACAAATTATGTTTCATTTGTAACACTCGATCTTCTCATTGTTGCGACGGTTGTCATAGCCCAGTAGAAGTTCGATATTGTCACTTTAACGACAAATAGTTCATCTAATGCCACGTCCAGAGGAAACCCAACGTCACCAAACACTCCACCAATGAGAAAAATTGCCAAAACCTTTGGGATCAAATCATTTTAGATAAAGCCCAAATTTGTATCTTGAAATCAAATTGGTACAGAATTTAAAACAAATCTCAATTGGAGGAGGGTGAAGAGGTGTTGGTGGGGGATTCTAGACGGTAGACGGTTGTATTGGTGGTTATGCGTGGTGGTAGTAATAATAATTTCTCGACAATAGTGGTTTGTTTGTGGTGTTTGGTGTTAGTGGTGGTTATGTGTTGGTTGATGGTGTGTGTGTGTATTTGTGTGCATATGTGTTTTTCTTAAACTAGTATTTGTCGAATTTAAAAGTAATAGTTGTATAGTTGGAGAAAGGAAAATAGGAGAAACAAGCAGCCTTTGTATATATTCTTGAATGAATGAATATTCTGTACAGTTAGTGTTACATATATATAGCAGAGGAAAGCAGACTCCTCCCTCACCACAAATTCCTAAGATTCTTGTAACAGAATAGATAAAGAGATAAGTATTAGATACAACTAATTTAATCATATAACTTTATCATGCCCCCGCAAGCTAAGTGTGGTGGAGGACACCACACATAGCTTGGAACGAAGCCTTCCAAAATGAGCAAAAGACAACGGTTTTGTGAAGATATCTACAATTTGATCGAGAGACGGGACATGCTGAACTCGAAGAGTCTGATTGAGAACTTTATCACGAACAAAATATAAGTCCAATTCGATATGTTTAGTGCGAGAATGCAACACGGGATTGGCACTCAACGAAACAGTGCTCAAGTTATCACACCACATAACAGGAACATTGGGCAAAGGAAGCTGAAGTTCACTAAGCAAGGACTGAATCCAAACCACCTCGGCAGTGGCATTAGCAAGACTACGATACTCTGCTTCAGTACTTGAACGAGAGATGGTGTGCTGTTTCTTGCAGCTCCAGGTGACAAGACAGTGACCAAGAAATACACAAAATCCAGAAGTAGACTTCCTATCATCAGAGTCAGTAACCCAGTCCGCATCAGAGAAGCCAATAAGGGAAAGGGAAGGAGACTTAGGTAAATGGAGGCCATAATCATAGGTGCCCTGTAGATACCGTAAAATTCGTTTGACAGCCTTCCAATGAGGCTCACGAGGGGATTGCATATACTGGCATACTTTGTTGACTGAAAAGGAGATGTCAGGCCGTGTAATAGTGAGATACTGAAGAGTACCGACAATGCTCCTATAAAAAGAAGGATCTGGAAATGGGTCACCAACAGTAGCAGATAAACGTTCACTCGTGATCATTGGTGTGGGTAAAGGACGAGCATTGGCCATACCAGCCCGAGTAAGCAAGTCACGGACATATTTGCCTTGAGTCAATAATAGGCCACCTGAAGAAGTGTACCGAGCTTCAATACCAAGGAAAAAATGAAGTAAACCAAGGTCTTTAAGTGAGAAGGCCTGACTAAGATGAGAGATGAGTTGAAGAACCTCATGAGAGTGACTCCCTGTTATTAAGATATCATCAACGTAGATGAGCACATAAACACAAGAAGAACCACGATGCTTAAAAAAGAGAGACGGATCTGCCCGAGAACCATGAAATCCCAAAGTAAGTAAGGACCCTTGGAGTTTATCAAACCAAGCCCAAGGGGCCTGTTTAAGGCCATACAAAGCTTTGTGGAGCTTACAAACAAGAGGATGACCAGTAGAAGAAGTATGATCATAACCTGGTGGTTGCGCCATAAAAACAGTCTCACGGAGATCTCCATTAAGGAATGCAATATTAACATCAAGTTGTCGAATATCCCATCCTTGAGAGAGAGCAATAGCAAGCACTAGACGAATAGTAACAGGCTTAACAATAGGGCTAAAAGTCTCTGTAAAATCAAGACCAGCAGTTTGAAGATAACCTTTTGCAACAAGGCGGGCCTTGTAACGAGAAACAGTGCCATCAGGATTCCATTTTATCTTAAACACCCAACGACAACCAATAACTGTACAATCAGCAGGAGCTGGAACAAGAGACCAAGTCTTATTAGCAAGTAAAGCATCAAATTCATGTTGCATAGCTTGTTTCCAAACAGAACTGCTCATGGCCTGAGCAACATTGACTGGTTCATGATTAGCAAGATCAGCAAGCCAGGCTTTGGGCTTGAATATACCATGTTTTGCCCGAGTAACCATAGGGTGATCATTAAATGGAGTAACACCAGTGTCTACCAAGAGAGGAGGGAGAGAAGGGGGAGGAGGGGAAGGAGGGATGGAAGGAGAAGGGTCAGTAATGGGAGAGGAATCAGGAGTGGTATGTGAT